ACTAGCATCTTACAGATTACTAGGAATTTTCTTAATAAGCTACCTAATTTGAACTAGACAACCTCATGAAGATGAGGACAGTGGATGTATGAAGTTAAACTGCGGCCTCGCAGCAGCAGCATGTATGTGCTGTGCTGGAGCGGGAACAGAAGCACTAAAAACCTAGAGACTTGAGTTATTTTTATAAAACTGAACTGTCTCCCAAGGAATCAATGGAAATCTGATTGCTTATACTCCATCAACTTTTCATTTCTCCACACACATTAGCATCCTTCCCCTGTTTGTGTGCAGTGTTTCTGGGACCTTGGCCTCAGAGTATGTCAATGTGAGAACTCAATAGAGCCAAGGGACATGTCGCTTAATCCTCTTCCTATCTGGTGTAACAGGTGTACGTGTCTCCAAGGTGCCATGAAAAGAACAGGGAAATTGAAGGATGGAAGCTACTTCTTTCCTTATAGCCATACGGTGGTGAAATCATAAAATCATAACAAAACAACAACACAAACAAACAAGCCCAGGAGAATTCAGGTGAGAAACATGTACTTTTTTTTTTCTTTTAGAAATCCTTTACATCTGATTACTAACTTACACATAGCACTTGAATTGAAAAACAGGGATGATTTTTACCACTTCTTGAAAAATGTTTCCTGTTTCAGACACATAACTGCCATAGCCGTCAGCATTTGGCTTTGCCATCTGTCCCTTGTCACAGACATCCAAAGCTCTTCCATGTAAACCTTGCTTCACTGAAATTCACTTAAAATCATTCTAAACATGAAAAATTATTTAATGTAGCAGCATATTAAGCCTATGGGCTAGAAACAAATATCAAATAATATATATATATATATATATATATATATATATGTACAGAGAACTGATATTATTATGCCTGCCATGTTAATGCTGACTTTCTGACTATATGAGTTTGGGTAAACTCCAAAAATGAGCAAATGTTTAAGAAAAAAATCATCACTGAAACAGCATGCAGATATTCTAACATGAGAAATTAAACAAACCATTAAGCATAGATACATGCTCTCATCAGGAACTGCACTAGTCGTGGCCATAAACCTAGTGGGACAGAGGAAGTTGAGGCATCAACACCTATGGCCCACAGACGTTGCTGGAGAAAATGAAATTGTTAAGACTCCAGGGAGTCATCTCACCTGGCAATTACAACTTTGATCTGGAAGGGTGGCAATGGACCTCAGAGATACTCAAGAAGGCAGACGGCGCCATTAGAAGACATAAAGGGATCCAAAGGAGACACAGATGCTTAGATTAGCAGCTTTTCCATGAGGCACCATTTCAGACAAACAAACACATTGATAGTGTTACTAGAAGCTGGCCACTTACTCAACTAGAACAAAAGGTTTCCCCAATTCTTGTCTTCCATATTATTTTCTTTTTCTACACATTTAAATTCTTTCCCCCAGATCCCAATATTTTTCTGGATATTTGCAGGCATTCAGCTTTATTTTCATAAAGGAACTGTCCTGATAACCTCTGGGACTCACTTGACCTTTCTTTGAGAGAAGTCCTATCTTTATTGTAGCAGGACTGCCTAGAATTTATGGAGCATAAATAGACTTTGATAAGGGAGCAAGAGGGGAAGCTCTGGTCTATAAGACCCTCCTCCATGCAATGATGCTCATACTATAGGACAGAGGAGGAAACTATTTAAACTAAACTACCTCTTTCTCCAGCCTCTCCCCTTCAGATGGAAAAGCACTTATCAAATTTCCTGTTCAGGACCACCTTTGGAGTGGTCTTACTCTGGGAAATTGTTGTTACATTCATAATGTAATATGGATAGTATTTGATAAGTAGGCATCCAACTCTACTTTAGTGTCTGCACAATTCTTTCTTGTTGATAACCCTAATGTAATTTGTTGTTCTTTCAAACATATTAAGTAACTGAAATGCTTTCTGTAATCCAAACTATGTTAGAGTTAGACAGTTTTTCCCATGACACCTCACTGATGCTCAACCAATGTTAAGCCAACTGCCTGCTTACATGGTCTGTGTCTTTTGATTAGGCTTCTTAACAATATATTTCATTTGGTTTATATCTCCCTATACCTGAAGGAGTTCTAAGGTTACTTTTAAATCAAATCTCCAATAAATCTTTTCTAGCTACCAAGATAAGTATTAGAGCATATTGTGTGTGTGTGTGTGTGTGTGTGTTTGTGTGTGTGTGTATTTAACAGAACATAATAAAATGTAAAAAGCACATAATCCAGATTATGATAATATCATAGTTATTTCTAATGGACTAGAGACACTGGAAATTTTCTACGTGCTGATTATTTTACCAACTGCAGCAGATTCTTGGTTTTACACCAGGGAGCCACAATATTCTGTCACCATTTCTCTCTTCTTATGGCATTTCAGTACTCAAACTATTAATCCAAGATAATCCTTCTTTACTCTTTCCTTTCCTGAGATAACACTTAGTCCTATATTTACCACTACATGTGCAAATAAACATTCTTTTTCAATCTCAAGACTTCTCCAAACATGCTACTTCTAATTCAAATTATTTAGAGCCAAGATCAGCTACAGCCTTAACAAGAAGAACGTGGTTTCCTGAAAAAAAACTGTTACTGCTTTGCAAATACCAAGCGTGCTTTCCAGGCTTCCCACCTACCCATTGTAACACTGCCCTCCAACTCCTATTTCTCTATCATCAATGTGAGACAACCTGTCCATATACACATTCAAACCTTCTTTACAAGCTTATTCAATGTCTTTGTGCTCCCATGTATTCTGCCTCCTCACCCCATCTAATTTCCTATTCATCTCTTTCCAATATGGTATTACCTACTCTATTCGGAACTGGGTCTTTGGCAATTATAGAAGGCATGTTATTAACTCTGCCAGCTGCTTCATCACCTGCACTCACTGTAAGCCAATTTAAAAAAATCTTTGTTCTTAGATACTCTGCTTATTCTAATTAGAGAGCTTATCATAGAGCTGCTGCAAAACTCTGCCTTGACAATGATCTTCCCCCTCCTTCTCTTCATAACATGAATTAAAAAACAAAATGGGTTTCAGACACCAACTTCCATGTCTCTGACTCTTATTCTTGCATAAGTTCACTTAGGATAACCGAGGCCTTTGTTGTGGACCTTCAAAAAGGTATTATGAAATTCATTGAATGCTGTGGACATTCAAGAAAAATGTGAAGGCAACTAAAACAGAAAATGAGAGGAAGAAATTCTCTTACTTATTTATCCATTCTTCCTTTATCTTATTTATGAGACTGATTTTTATCTTTAATTGAAGAAGGTAACAATAGCAGTTGTAGAGTGGAGGAGTTAATTTACAGTGGAAACAGAAGGTACCAACAGAGGGGCTTACTAACTAAATGAAGTAATCTCTTCTGGGCATTACTAAACTAAGAAAGTAGTTGGCTTATGGGTTTCTTTCTAAAGTAAACAGAACAAAAGATTTCTTCATCTCCTTTTCAATTATGCCTTCCTATAAGTACACTAACTACATTTAGACTACCAATTTTATTCCTTTTAACATCTATTCATATAGATTCACCCATGCCTGTATCCATTGGACGATGATGTGTTGAAAACTTACGAAGAGAAGTACAGATTGCATAGACATATATAAAGGAAGGCCTGTGCTTGCATTATAACTTAAATCATTAGAATAACCAGACAAGTAAAGAGACAATAAAATATGCAATTAGCAACCTAAATGCTATGAATAGAGTGGGATGAATTCCTGCTGAAAAGTCTTAAAAGTTGGAAAGTTCAGGAATATATTAGAAAACACTCAGTTGAATATAGTTTTACTAGAAAAACTGCATCAAAATGGCTTAATATAATAAAAAGTCTATACAGTGACATTTTTAAAGATGCAAGCTATATGCGGAGGTATTGTTACTATGAACTATTGTTACTACGAATATTACATGACACAAATACATACAGCATATAGTTACTAAAATAGCCTCTGAGAGACAATCGCAGTAATTACCTTTCTGTGAGGAGATGTTTTTATAACATTCAAAGGAAAATCAAGTTGCCCTAAGAGGTTTGCAAAATTGGAAGAAATAAGGCAACATAATCTCACATAATTGAGCATTGATACAGGATAAAGTGGGTCAAATGGATCAGGGTTTAATCACAAAGATGAGTGAAGTTGTCTTTTTGTTTCGGTATGTTTTTGATTTTCATTGATATAGATCATGGGCATTGGGGGAACAAAACTAAGAAAACTGAAAGGATCACTTTCTTCTTTAATCTATAAGAATAAGGATCAAATCTGCAGATTTTAGTTTATTTCAGGCCTTTCTCAACACTAACAAACATTTTCCTTTTTATGAGAGAGAAGACTACCTATCTGGTAAAGCAGAACACAGACTTGAAGAAGCCATGACATCAATAATTTTTTATTAATTTAGACAGCAAGGAAACATACAGTAAGGGCTTGAAGGGTAAGTGTCATGCTAGGAAGCCAAGAGTAATCTGAGTTGCAAGATCTCCCTCATGCCTACAAACAGCATAGAAAGACAAGAGAGGATGCTAGCAGAATGGACAAAAAGCTAAGTTTAAGAAATAAGTGAGAATTATGGAATGGCTATCACACGATTTTACCTATGCTATTATTTTTTCATGATAAGGAATTTCCATTCACAAAGGCAGTTCATTTATTCATCTTGATCAATGTCAACCTTGCTTTCATCTTTCTCCCCCAGCGCTCATTTTCTTAATTTTGTAGGATAGGAATTGAATTTTATGACTGCATTCTTCTCCCTCTCCGTCTCTTCCTTCATCTACCCCCATCCTTGATACCATTCCTCCTTTGAGTACCTGGTGTTTACTTTGTTGAACTGTTAGACTTTTTAAGGAATTACACACTCTGAATTCTTCCCTCAATCGACCATATTTCAGCTAACACATTTATGTATACTTGGATACCATCTCAAAGTGTTTACTTTTATACTTATAAATTAATTATATATTTCATATATGAGCAACACTATGGAGTACTTCACTAATTTGTGTGTCATCTTTGCAAAGGGTCATGCTAATCTTGTCTCTATTGTTCTGTTTTTAGTGTATGTACTGCTGCAGTGAGCACCAATGCCATTATTTATTTGTCTCAAAGTCTTGTTCAATCCTGAAGCTAGCTTTAAACATATTTGCAAATAGTGTCATGGAGACTAATGACTTCTGCTTCAGGTCTCTGGTTATGCTGATCCTGCTGGGTTTGGGGATATCAGTTTGTCTTGTGACCTCCATTCTTTGCTAGGAACAAGAATAGTCATTAAAGTTTTGTCTAGTGCAGTTTTTCTTCTTGTTGTAAGACAGAAATGACAACTTCTGAGCTCTTTTTGTGTTGGATCAGAAATCTAATTTCTCCTATGGTTTCAAATACACAATGAATATAATTTTATTTTGCCCTTTAAAAGATTAGTTCACAGCCAGATTGGAGGACAGCATCGTGGAAACAGGATATGGGTTCAGAGGCTGTTGTGTTTCAATGGCAACCAAGAAATGTTGGTGTTATTAGTAGATGGGAAAGCAAAGACAGGAGACACAGGGAATAAAAAAGGTGATATTTTCTGATGCAGATTAAAAGCCCATGGTGTGGTGCAGTGGGAGGAAGTCATAAGAAATATCCCATCATTGAGATTCTTAGAGAATAGGTTCGGGCTTTGAAGTCACTTTGCCCACCAGTATGACCCCATACTTTTTTTTTTTTTTGGTCGGTGGTGGAGCTTGAATTCTGGGCCTGGGCGCTGTCCCTGCACTCTTTAGCTCAAGGCAAGCGCTCTACCCCCTTGAACCACAGCACTAGTTCTGGTTTTCTAGTGGCTTATTGGAGATAAGAGTCTCACGGACTTTCCTGCCCGGGCTGGCTTTGAACCTCGATCCTCAGATCTCAGCCTCCTGAGTAAGCTAGGATTACAGGCGTGAGCCACCGGCGCCCGGCTGACCCTATACTTTTTAATATGAGAGGCATCTGAAATAATTTCATTAAAAGCAAAAGTGTGAAGAAACTTGATTACATAATGATAAGAATGCACTTGCAGAAAAAGAACATTAATATTATCTCACCTGTGTAGTTATTATGGGAAAGTTAGTAAGATTTGCTGCGTTCCTCTTGGCATGGTGACACTAAAAATAAGACCATTCGTTTTGTGACAGTGACCAAAAATAAGCAGATCTAAGCATTTTTCTCTTCCTTTTATTTCCCCATGGTTTATCACATTCTGTCCCAAATCCTAAGATATTTCTGGCCCTTTTACAAGATGCTTTCACTTAAGCTGGTCCTCTTACCACCTGATTCCTAAGCAGGGCCATTATTCTTTGGGCCTTTCTTTTTATTCATCATTTTGTACCTCTAGAAAACTGTCCCTTTTGGGGGCTGGGAAGGTGGCTCAGTGGTAGAGTGCTTGCCTTGCATGCTTTGCATGCCTGAGGCCCTGGGTTCGATTCCTCAGCACCACATAAGCAAAAAGAAAAAAAGCCGGAAGTGGCGCTGTGGCTCAAGTGGTAGAGCGCTATCCTTGAGCTGAAGAGTGAGGGACAGCGCCCAGGCCCAGAGTTCAGGCCCCACAACCGGATCCCCCCCTAAAAAAAAAGAAAAGAGAAAACTGTCCCTTTTCTCTAAAATCCAGGTGGAGTTCTCAATATCAGAATGTTTAGGATTTTGTTAATAAGATTTTCCTGTAGTTTAGCTTTGTTTGTTTAGGCAAGAACACAATGTTATCTGTAGATAGTAATGTCTGATAGGAATGTGACACTAATTATGATTCAATATTTTTTATTATATTAGAACAGACGTATTGGGGGAAAGCAGTTTTTTTAATTCGATTTTACAAGGCTTATTTTCTAGGGGTAACAATAAGAGTAAGATCTTAAGAGGATGGCACCTAATTAAGCTTTCTTGGAGAACTCATGTCAGCAAATTATTATTAAAGTTATATTATTAGTATAAGTATATAGGGTTGGCCCTCTTTACCTCATGGTGTATTCCTGTCTTACAAGTACTTCTATTATCTAATTTACATGCCAAAGACTTACTGATTGATTTGCATTGCATAGGAATAGTCATATGGATCTCCAAAGAGAAAGACAGAAGAAGAATGTTTCCTTATGAAAATTTATTCTGCTACAGCCCCTCTAAGTGATAGTGAAATGGGATAAACATTTATTGATATTTCTTTTCAAGCATGATCATATTACTATTACTGAATTATGCAGTTCATAAAAACATTTTTTCACTCATATTTGGATGCAAGTATAGAATTTAGGGACCTCTAAAGGCTTTGCAAAGAGCATAGTAGCACTACTCTGGCTTAAAAGTAACAGGGCAGGATTTTGTTCTGTTTTGTAACTACCTTCATTATGTATACCAAATGCAATAGATTGCCAAATACAATAAATCTCCAAACAGGAATAAATATTAATTGATTATTAATAAAAAATATATTCTAGGCTGTTGCATTTGTTTACTCTTACTGCCCTAGCAAATTACAAAAGGCTAGCAATATTAAATTACCCCAATATATTATCTCATACTTCTATAGGTCAGAAGTCTGGGTTAGTTCAGCTGATTTTTCAGCAGTGCATTTTATAGTCCCCAGTTGGGTTGGCACAGGGCTATTCTTATCAACAGTTTTGAGAAAAATGTAGACTTCCTTGCAGGTGATGGACTGAGGCCCTGTGTTCTTTGTTTTCTGTTACCCAGGCTTCTCCTAAAGAGGCTGCTCAGGTCTTTGCACACAGCCCTATTTCTCAGGAGCAGCAACGGCATGCCTAATATTTTTCCTTATTGCACTATTTCTAATTTTCCCTTTTGTCAAGTCTTTGTTTTGCTCCCAGCCACAGAAAGTTCTCCTCTTTTAAGGACCTAAGTGATTATATGGTGCTTATTGAATAATTCATTAAAAAAACTTTCTATCTTAAGGTTTGTAAAAATTACATTTATTTTTTCTTGTTTCCATATCTTGAAGTTTATTTCTTTCTTTAATTTTATGTTATTGTAAAGATGTTGTACAAAGGGTTTACAGTTACATGAGTAAGGAAATGAGTAAGGTAATGAGATCATTGATCATTGTGACCCTTTCCCTTTTTGTTATCCCACTCTCCCTTTATTCCCACACTCCTCCCCACTCCACCCAAGCCCTGCCCCCACCAAACGATGTAAAATTCCTTTCCCTTTACTAGGTGTTAGAAGAAGTCACATTCTAGGTTATAAGAATAGATTGATAACTTTGGGAAATTCTTTTATTTTAAAGAAGTTTTTTTTATTGTGAAAATACTGTACAGAGAGAGGGGTTGCAATCATATGAGGAAGGTAATGAGTACATTTCTTATCAAGCATTGGTGCCTTCTCCTTTCTTTTTCCCCTCCCATCCCTTCCCTCCCATCTCTACAACAACATTTCCCATCACCCAGTCCCCCAAGGCACCCCCCCCCCCCGACACCCCTCACCCCGACCTGAATTGTAAAGTTCTTTTTTCGACATAGCGTTTCATTGTTTCAATGGGTCAACCTGTACCTTTATTTAAACAATTTGTTTTTTCCCTTCTGCTCCCCAAATTATGCCAACATCAAACACAGTAAAAACAGGGGTTTTATCATGGGGGAGAAACATACAAAGAAACAAAAAAAAAATCACCTTATAAATATGTTAAAAACAATAGCAAGAAAGAAGAAACCCACTTGTGTCCTTATCTTGGGGTTCATTTCATCTAACATGATCTTATCTGATCTTTCTGCTTGTCTCAGACATATACTAGTTATTGCAAATAAGGGAAACCATGGGACTTATGTTTCTTTGGGCCCAGCTTATTTCACTTAATGTAATTTTTTCCAAATCTTTCCGTTTCCTAACAAATGGGCTAATGTCATTCTTTCTGATGGAGGCATAGAATTCCATTGTGTATATATAACTCTTTTCTTGATCCATTCATCTACTGAGGGGCATCTGGGTTGGTTCCATATCTAGCTATGGTAAATAATGCTGCAACAAATATAGTTGTGCTGGTAGCTTTAGTGTGGTCTTGTTTGTGAACATTTGGGTAAATGCCCAAAAGTGGGATTGCTGGGTCATTGGGGAGCTCTATATGGAGTCTTTTGAGGAACCTCCATATTACTTTCCAAAGTGGATGAACAACTTTACACTCCCACCAACAATGCAGTACGGTACCCTTCTGGCCACATCCCCTTCAGCATCTGTAGTTATTAGAGTTCTTGATTATAGCCATTCTAACAGGGCTGAGATGGTATCTCAATATTGTCTTGATTTGTATTTCTTTTATGGCTAGAGAGGTTCAGCATTTCTTCAAGTGTCTATTGGCCATCCTTCTTTCCTCTCCAGAGAAATTTTCTCTAAGTCTTTAGACAACTTATTTATTGAGCAATTGTTTCTTAGAGGATTTGTTGTTGGTGAATTTAATTTTTGGAGTTCCAGGTATATTTTAGATATGAGACCCTCATCTGTTGTATGGCTAATGAAGATCTTCTCCCAATCCGTGGGCTTTCTATTGATCTTGCTAACTATGTCCTTTGCCATGCAGAAGCTCTGCAATTTCATGCAATCCCATTTGTCCAACATTTCTTTCATTTGTTGTGTTTCTGGGTCTCTGTTAAGAAAATTTCAGCCTGTGCCAAGGAGACCTAGGGTTTCTCCTGTTCCTCCTGTAATGTTTTTAGGGTGTCTGCGTTGACTCCTAGTCTTTGATCCCTTTGGAGTTAATCTAGTGCAGGGTGATATATTATGATCTAGCTTTAGTTTTTTACAAGTGATAAACCAATTTTGCCAGCACCATTTGCTGAAGAAGCTGTCTTTCTTCCATTCTATTTTTTAAATTCCTTTATCGAAGATTTGTGGCTATAGGTCTGTGGGTTCATTTCTGGGTTTTCAATCTATTATATTGGTCCTGTGGTCTGTTCTAGTGCCTGCACCAAGCTGTTTTGATCACTATGACTTTGTAGTAGAGTTTGAAATTTGGTATTGGTATTCTTCCAGCACTATCCTTTCTGTTAAGGATCGTTTTTTGCTATTCGGGGTCTTTTATTGTTCCATATGAATTTTTGGATTGCCTCTTCTATTTCCTTGAAGAATGA